CGTTATCTGTCTTGGATTCGGAGATATTCCTCGAGAATTGATGAATTCTGAAAATTAATGAATGATTAATATTTAATTTTTATGAATTGATGATGATAATAATAATTAATAATTACTATTAATTATTTAATTAATTTGTGTAATGATTTCTCCAGCCCCCGAGCACGCCGAAACGTCCAGCAGCTGGTGATGATGACGACGAAGACGACTGGGATGCTAAAAAGATAAAAAAAGTTATCAAGACTCCGTATCACCCTCGACAGAGGTATCCGAGTCGAGATGTCGAGACTACCCCTCGACGAGAGCCTCTGGAGACACCTCTGGAGAGCAGATCTGCAGCTTCAGCTGGTACCAATGACATCCTGGAGCCGGAGCTGACGGATCGTGAGAAGGAGGAAATCCTCAGGTACGTGGAGAACGAGGCACCTGAGGTCGAGGCTCTCGATGAGGCCACGTTAAAGAGGATGGTCTTGCTTTTCGAGAAAAGAGCCCTCAGGAACCAGGAGATGAGGGTCAAATTCCCAGATCAACCGGAAAAGTGAGGAAATTTTTTTAAAATATTTTTTTATCATTTTAATCTGATTTACAACAATTTTTCTTAATTCTAATTAAAAATTGTCCGGTGCAATTGAAATATTTCATCGGATAATTAAAAATCAATGAATAATATCACAATAAATAATTTTTCCTTTAATTTTTTATGAAGAAAATACTGAGAAAGCAGCAGCAAAAGATATAAAAAATCTTTAAAACCCAAAAAAATGAATTCTGACACCTCCAGGTTCATGGAATCCGAAGTGGAGCTGCACGAGACCCTCCAGGAGCTCCACGTGGTGGCGACAAATCCCGAGCTTTATCCCCTGATGGTGGAACTAGGTGCGATCCCCTCATTACTAGAATTGCTCTCCCACGAGAACACAGACATTGCAGTAGGCGTGGTGGATCTCATCCAGGAGCTGTCCGACGTGGACATCCTCCACGAGAGCCAAGAGGGTGCAGACGCCCTGATAGATGCCCTCCTGGAGCAACAGGTGTGCGCACTCCTGGTGCAGAACCTCGACAGACTGGACGAGTCCGTGAAGGAGGAGAGCGACGGTGTCTTCAATACTCTAGCTATTTTCGAGAATCTCCTGGAGTTCAGGCCCGAGTTGTGCATTGATGCTGGAAAACAGGGACTCCTCCAGTGGCTACTCAGGAGGATCAAAGCTAAAATGCCATTTGACGCCAACAAACTCTACGCCAGTGAGTTACTCTCGATTTTACTCCAGAACACACCAGAAAATAAACTCGTCCTTGGGGATCTCGATGGGATCGATGTCCTTCTTCAACAACTAGCTGTGAGTCCATTAAATCATTCCTTAAATTGGAATCAATGGAGTGTTATTGTAAACTTCTGGTGTTGAAATTAAACTAATTCAGGATTTCCAAAAAAAAATTGGAAGACATCTAAAGAATATTTGAAATCCCCAGGATTACGTCCTGATAAAGTGAATTTTATTTCAGTACTACAAGAGGCACGACCCCCAGACAGCCGAGGAACAGGAGATGATGGAGAATCTCTTCAACGTCCTCTGCTCGAGTCTGATGGCAACAGTGAATCGTGAGCGTTTCCTGAGGGGTGAGGGTCTCCAGCTGATGAACCTGATGCTGAGAGAGAAAAAAATGTCAAGAAATGGTTCCCTGAAGGTGCTGGACCACGCGATGAACGGTCCAGATGGCAAGGACAACTGCATGAAGTTCGTGGACATCCTGGGGCTTCGCACCATCTTTCCACTCTTCATGAAGACCCCAACGAAGAACAGGAAGAAGGTGTTCACTGCTGAAGAGCACGAGGAACACGTCGTCTCCATTATTGCAAGCATGTTGAGAAATTGCAAAGGACAGCAGAGACAGCGATTGCTCAGCAAATTCACGGAGAATGATTACGAGAAAGTCGACAGACTCATGGAGCTGCACTTCAAGTATTTGGAGAAGGTCGAGGAGGTGGAGAGCAATTCCAAGGACGA